CCTAGAATTATTTTTTCCTGTGTTGGAAAGTTAGCTTACTCCTTAAACATTTTTTGCCAATAACTGCCYGATTAATGATAAAAACCAAAGCTTTAAAATTATTTAATATTCATATGCATAGCCAGTAACAGCTCTTCATAATTAAAYAGCAAAAGAAAATATATGTACAAATGTACTTGCAATATAAAAACAGTGCCCTGGAAAAATGTTTTACTAATTCAAACTGTAAACAAATATTACATACAAACTATGTTTAATATTCTACTCTATATATTGGAAGCAGCCAAAGAAATTACAAAACCTCATTGTGAGACAAATGTCCATGAAAAAAATTGTCAATCCATTTATACAAACAGATGTTCAAACAATTGGAAATGCCCACGGCTTGTAAGATAAATTTATATAATTCTGGATATATAACCCCTCCAGCATCACCATATAGCTTCATTAYATATTAAGACGTCTGCCTTAATATTACTCTACAATAATGGAAGTTAAATGCCATTGATTGCAACAAAAAAACAAACCAAAAAACAAAACCAAAAACCAACCAAACCAAAAAAGCAATTGCTATACTACTAGTTTGAGACTGTTAGATAAATTTTGCAAAACAAAACAAACACTACCTCTGTTCCATGATCATTACAACTGTATTTTTCTCACCAGCACACTGGCTTGCCCCAGATATTTCTGATCACGCTGAACTATGTAAAACATTGGAAATACATGCAATTGGTCTTTGAAATGATACAGAAGCAATGGACTGCWTTAGACAGGTTATGAAACAGTGCCATATCACCTTATGAAATTTTAGTTAGATGGGTCTATAGGTCAAGTTTACGTTTTTGTATATATAGATACATACATTTATATKAAAAAAACCACCCCAGAACATTATGTCATTATGGAAAACCCACTCATTAAAATCATCATTAAAATTGTTACAGTATTATTCACATATCTTTTGCTACTGATAACAGTCATGAAATGTGGATTTTTGTCCTGTTTATTACTGTTAACTGTAAATCACAACCATAAGGATGACCAGAAAAAAGCCTAGCTACTAGACCAGAAAAAACAGGCTACTGTCTCTTCGAAAAATATATTTCTAGAGTATTCAAATCTCTTCAGTCTTATTCTAATTTTCTGCATCGCCACAAATGTGGATGAGAAAGAAATTCAAGATCAATCAAAGAAGCTCTGCTGCATTCAGAAGAAAAGGTGTTTGCTATTGCATTGGGCCTACAGAGGCAGCCAAGAACACCTCCCTTAGGCAGCACCACTGAAGTGGCTCAAAGTACAYGAACAAGAAACACTTGTTTTGTCTGGAGACAGAGGAGGTACTCAGGGGTACAACAAATTTGAGAAGAGTTAATTATGTTTGATAGATCATGAGGAACGGCACAACTGCAGAACACAGCAAAGACTGAGAAATAATCCTCATCTTCAAACAGGCAAAGCTGCATAGCGAGAATCATTGGCATTGACCGCAGGCATTCCTTGTACAAACTTCCCTGGCTTGGCCTCCTGACAGGACCGACAGCACCACAGAAGCCACATGAAGCTSAGAAATAAAAGATGCAGCTAAGGGAGAAAAAGTCGATGTTTTGATCAGCCTGCCACAGAGTGTGGTGCTCAGAAACACGCTGGAARCCCTGAATGGCGAACACATCCAAACAAACCTGCAAGATGGTCAAAGACTCCCTCGCCCCCCAGCAACTGTCAGCTATGTTTCGCACACTTGCTCCAAGCATATGCTTTCTCCATTAAATGTTACTGCCAGAACCAAACAAGCCATGAATTCATCCCTAAAAGCACATGCAGGAGAAAAAATACTCAAATTAATTTCTACTGCGATTTTAATGATGACAGTGATATAAAATACACAAAGCTAACTATGATATCAGACAGTTAAACTGGGCAGTTGAAAAGACTGACACAACTCCATCTGAAGGTCAAATCAGCTTCAAAACAAGTCCACATGCTACCAAGGAAATTTACCATCAGATGTGCAAAAACCTAGTTTGAGTGAAGTTTAAATGAGTGGAAGAAGTGATGAAGTTGAGAACGGGTATCATGCTGTGTAAACGGCTTTTATTCAGTGACGCAGTAAAGGCAAAAATTCTCCCTTAGYGCGAGGCAGAGCAAACAGAAGAGGATTAATGCCACAGTTTGGATCTCTAGCTGAAGGCAGCGCCAGGGAAAGCGTCTGACTGCCCACATCACTGATGTAGGCAGCTGGCACCAAGGCTTCGCATGGAGCAGAGGGAAAGCTGGCAGGGCTGCTTGCTCACTTACACCCCAAAACAATTCCGAGCTGGACTTGGTCAGCATCCTGGTCCTCAGTGGCATCTCAGGAAGTCAAAGCAGCTTTGGCCACCTGCCCACTATCAGTTTCTCTGAGACAGAAATCACTCCTGATGCTTGCTGAGAAGTCACACGCTGCAGATAAACACAAGTGCACATCTACCATTTCTCTCTCTGATCAGTTTTTTACGTTGGGATTGAAAATATATGCATCAAAGGTAATTTTCATACCACCTTCAGTCTTCACTCTAAAAGTGAAAAATGCTTTTAAGATAGTTCTGACAAATGTGTAGTATGCAGCTTCATACTGCAAAGATCTTTCCACACAAAGCAAAGGGACCTAATTGTGCACTGGAATTCCAAAAATCTTCACATCAGACACTTAACACAGAGAGGATTCCTTTCACAACCAAATAGCTACATTCACTATGTGGATGTGGTATTTGTGCATTGACCATGTCAGTTTTAATAGATAAGAGTATCCCACTCTTCCCCAAATCTTACCACTATCTAAAATACAATTCAATTAGCCAGAATCAGTARTGATATCAATCAAAAAGACTGATAAAAACAATGATTTAAGAGTAATTTAAGTACACATAACACTTAGTCTCTAACTTGTGTTAAGAGACAATTTTGATCAAAAGACATGTAAAACAAGCACAGAAATGTAAGTCACCACTTAGCCACTCAGACTATAATTACAACATCACCACCACTCATTTAATTCATACAACAGTGCTACAATTGTACACAAAGTCATTAACAAGACAAGACACAAGGATCTCCAAATAGTATCTGTTATGGTTTGCCACCCTAGATGATATCAGTAACTGATTTTTTTTTAACCTCTCATATTTTCTAACATATAAATACAACAGCAGAAATACAKTACTTAACACTGGACTGGACAACAGTTCAAACAGTAATGTATTATTAAATGTATTATTTTTCTGGAAGGATTTTTCCTACCAAAATGAAGTACAGAGAAAAAGCAAAGGATACCAAGAAGTAACGAATGACCAATATCAAGACAGGGATAAAGAAACAAGAGCCATAAAAAGTTTCAAGAAATTGAGGACATTTCTTCAAAGTTTTCATATCAACTGCAACTTGAAATGAGAAAAGCTCCAAATTAACATGAGTTAAGTTAATCTCATTTTGCAAACAAGACATTTATTTTAAATCTGAATTYAATATTTCTTATATTGTCCTGAATAAGGATTCACTAAGTCTTCTTTAACCAACCACAGCCTTGTATATAATGTTTTTCTGTAAAAYAGTACTCAACTCAAACGGTGAGTGCTCAGACTTGAGTACTATTTAATTAGGCAAATGAACATAGATTCTAATAAACAATCTAGTCTTAAAAAAGATGAAATAATCTTGTATAAGGTAAAACAAAATACTTATGTAGGTACTACATAAGCCTTCTCCACCTCAAAGTACATTTACCTCAGAAGTCTCCTCTTATTCCATCATGCTTGCTTAAATATTTTTTGTAGATGTTAGGTGCTTATTTTAAGTGATGGAAGATRCTAAGGAATGGCAACGGTCCTTTTACCACCACCTTCTTTAGAYTCTCATTTAGGTACCTTTGCAGTCACTGCAAATTATTATCTAGTACTGGTCCACAAACTCAAGCACCCACTAATTAAATGCTTTAACAGATTATTGCCACTAAATCTTAAGCATATGAACCTCTCAGATGCTYGTTTAGTACTAACAGCTATTACATAGCTTTTGAACTACCTTGGTTTATTTTAAAGACAGAATGATGCAAACCCCAAATGGAGCTAACAAAGTAATGCTCAGCATGAAGGTGACTTAATCCCAGCACTTGAGGAAAGCAAAAACTTGATAACTTGAAAAAGCTTGTCTAACTTGTTGAATCAAGCACCATTTCAAAGCACCACTTCCAACCAACATGAAAARCTTCATGGTCACTGATTAAGTATCTTGTTGAACTACTTCAGACAAGAGATAAGGAASTGGTGTTTAAAAAGAAGCAGAATTGAATATATTGTTTGCAACCTATGATTTTCTTTTAGCTAGCCATCTCCAAAAACATATAGGTTACAGGAGACCTACTATAAAAAAAAACTAAACCAAACAAACAAAAAAAAAAAACTATGAGGTTTTGTTAGCTCTTTCCACACCCATTGCTAACTAGCAGTCCTGCACCTCTCCACCAATCCCTCCTAACAAAGCAGGACTCTGGATTTCATCAGTGACAGATCGAWGAAGTAGAAGAACCAGAGGAAGCACTAGAATACATGCAAGCCATGACCTGTAACACTTGGTGGTCTTTTAGCTTTGTGACCAAGATTTCTGATGGAAAGAACCTGAGAAGCCCATGGGAATGGCTGCTTCTTTCTCCGTGCAGTTAAGAGACTAACCAGGAGCTGCAGGAAGGCTCAGTCTGATAACAACATAACCGGGAGGCTATTAAGAGTTTCTCTCAGATGAAAACTTTTGTCAAAAGACCTCCACCATGCCTGTAAACTGGAGRGAAATGCAAATGCTGCATACCATAGAGATAGAGTTTGAGGTGATTCACAGGCTGCCTGGGAAGAAGAGGAGCAGGAGTAGGAGGAGAGGCACTTCTGTCTGGGCCTCCATCCCAAWGGCCTCTACTCACCCACAGAATGGCTGAGGCTGCTCCTCCCGCAAGAWGATCATCTGGGCATCAGCAGCAGTGGGAAAAGTCCCACTGTGCAACCAGGAAAGTGGGGAGAGCACCTACAAACAAAATGGAACAAAATGTAAAACTGAATTTAAGGAGGATGAGATAGGTGAAGCTCACTGGATTCTAAATTCTAAGGAAATATATTGGAAACTTGAAACCAAATTGTATATCCCAAGCTTAGCAACTGCTGACTAGTGTGTTTTTAATAAAATGGAAGATATTATACCAAAGAAATTCCTGGAAACATTCTGACTCATATAAACAGCTATATGAGAAGTTTGGTTTACATACAAACCAACTTCATGAACAACAGATAAAAGCTCACTAAAAGAAACTATGAGAAAGCTGCATCCAATAAATTARATCAGGACTCCACATACTAACATTTCCACACCCATGTCAATCTACAGCAAAGCAATGATGTCTTTAATTATTGCCATCTAGGACAAAACCAAAACAAAAGCACACATGCTGCATCTGAGAAASGCAGGGACTTAGGGGAAGGCAAGTGGTATTTGTTTACATAAATGTTTCCCTTCCCCAATTTCCAAAGYCTTATTACATCAGAAGAAAATTATAGAGGATTACACTGCCCCACTATGGGACATCCTTTACAGCACAGTATTCCAGTCTGGGCCTTGAGATCTGCAAATACTAATAAAAAACAGATGAAATTGCCCATCTAAGCCCTATGATCAGGAACTTATGAGTTTTTTTATACCATTTGGTTAAAACACAAAAAATTAAAARCTCAACTATTATTTTGTCTTGCTATGATATAAGCCTTCAATAGATCTATTAACCATAACTACTGTTAATCAAACAAGTACACAAAGATAATATTTTCTTCCATGCAAAAGACAGCTTGCTAGCAACATCTTAATTAAATTCTAAATCCTGTATTGRAAAAAATATTAGATAAAAACATTGTAATCATCTTTGACAATCAATCTCACCCTAAATGTTTAAAATAATTAATCATGTTGAAGACAGATGAGTTATTTGTTTAAAGGCTACAGTAATAAAACCAATAAGGTCTCACATTTATAGAGCTATTTAGACCTAGCACAAAGGCATTTTTTGCATGAATAGCTTCCTGCAATTCCAGAATCCCTGGAATGCAAATTCATTTATGAAACCAATTAATCTTYTAAATTACTTAATTATCTCTCAGATCCAACAAACAGGCAATTGTAAAGTATGAGGGAAACAGGAGGCAGAATAAAGGCATTTGTAACTGCACAATGTCCAACCTATTCCAGAAGAACAACTGACCTCTGGAAGTGGCAATTTCCTCTGCAAGGCAGGAGCCCTGGCACATCTGCAAGCAGCTGGACTCACAGCACTCTGGCTGGAGTGTTTCACAAGTGCCTGGGCATACTCCTTTTGAGATCTGCACATACTGTCATCAGGAAAGGTGAATGTGAAACAGTGTCAAGAGAAACAAGCACCTTGGATTCAGCTTTCATTTCAAAAGACTCATTTCAACCTTTCTAGAGCAGAAGGTTCATCTGTCTTTTGTACCCCGAGGTAGCTTGAACAATTTTACTTCATATATATAAATATGTATTACTTGTGAGCAAAAGCTAGGTCTTCTTCACCGCAATTTATCAGGTTCATTTTGATTTAGCACTCACACAAAAGATAGATTCTTTTCCCTGATTTACTTGATTTTTCCTAATTTCTGTTGTTTTGTTTACTTGTTGCATTAATCCTGCACTTTCATCTGCAGRGCTTTGCCCCACATATTACACTGGGAACAGTGGTAAAGACATGTTCTAAGGAGACCAATGCAGTACTTTACACACTTCCTTATTACAGACTCTTCAGCTCTGGATAGTCCACTGCAGTTACTTTCTTTTGCAGATGGAAACTGTTAAYTTTTTGAAAACGTCAAGAGGTTTCTAATATTATTTGATTTTTTTAAAGCAGCATTGGCCCATTCCATTCCAAAAAAAGTCTTAAAATAGCCTGTTTATATTGTTTGCCACCTGGTCACTACATCTGCAAGCCCATTCAACACACTGCCCTTGAACTCTTGATTTCAAACACATTTCAGATCTATGTGTCTGGTTTTCTTTGAAACCAAAGCACAAGTGCCACAGATATTGCTCAAAGTTTTAAAATATAAAGCCCATTATGATGAAGGACTATATGGAGGAAAAAAAACCCACACAAAACAACAAAATAAGGTAGCATTAAAAGTACCTGATTTACTTACTAATTTCTAATGATGAAATGCAATTTAACACTTTTTATCATTTCCCACTGAAATCATATTTTGTTTGCTTCTAACTGGCAAACCCAGCCCTTTAACCCAAAATTCTTTTATTTCAGCACCAAGATTTTCTCTTAGGGAGAAAAAATATCACATTTTAGCAATGTCAACTCAGATTTCTTCAWGGAAATGAGAGAGGAGAACCAAAACTAGCATTTCTTTCCAGTGCTAAAAGCAAATTAACCCTTTTTTATTTGAATTTCTCAAGCTTATGCAACCTGCTAAAACCTCTACCTGAGAGGTTTTAAAGTGGTTGCCCATTCCAATCAAATAAAGACAGAGTTTGAAATACAGGAAAATAAACTCTTAAAAGCTAAGGATAAGGAGGAATGAAGGCAATAACTGATTATTGCCATTGTCTAGCAACTTGAGAGACAGAAAAGTAGAAAAGGCCRTTTCTTTGTTGTWGGGTTTGGGTTTGGTTTTGKAGGGATGGGTGGGTGGATTTGGGAGGATTATTTTGTTTGGTTATTGTTGTTTTATTTTAATTCAACACTGTTTTGTCTTTTAGAGTAATTGGCAATCACCACATATTTAGCTGTTAATTACATACCATGCACCTTTTTTTTGCCTAGCACAGGTGCCATGACAGGTGCAAAAAGAGGCAGGAAAACATAAAACACAGCATTAGCTTGTGTAACAATGACAAGGAGCTTTGTATCACCTACACACTCAAGTTGAGGCATCCAGCTGAAGTATCTAAACTATGAACCCAATTTCCCCATCCTGACATAAYGCTACTGACAAGTCTGGGTATCTGCAAAGGCGTTTCAGACCTTGGTGACCTGGATCATCTTCCCCAGTTTCTCTGTTAACCAAAGTGCAACAAATCCATACTTTTGACACATTAAAAAAAGCACAGAATGTATCACAATTGCACCTATCAGAAAGTAACCTAATCCAAGCAGCCCTGTCAAATCTTTAACTCTTTCAAAGAACAGATGTATCACTACATTTTACTATGTATAGGCTTTCTGGGCTTTTCTTTGAACAGAGACATGGTAAAATAGATTATGATGCAAGGACAAAACACTCCAGAACGGCAAACTTTAATCGGTTGCTTCTGTTTTTAGTATTATGAGTAATTTTTATACTAAACTTATATTTTTATACTAATAACCATACTRAAGCTGAGAGATGTTGCAGTGCTGCTAGACACCATACTCTGCTATAACAGAMACTGTTTTAAGAAAACCAGAAGTAGAGAGAAAAGCTCTAATCACAATTGTATTTTTTACTTATGAACTTTGCTCATGCCATGTACAGAAGAGTATTGGGGAAGGTAAGAGCTGCAGTGTAGAAGAGACATTGGTGGAGGGGACAGGAGAGGCTGATCTGGACAGACAACTGGGAGGGGGCTGAAAGGACCAAGCTGTTCAGCCAGCAGAAGAAAGAAACTCTCCATACTGGAACCACCCACCACTAACCATGAGGTAGTTTAAACTGCTGCAACTGCAATTTGAAAGAACAGCTTTAAACTCTTCATGGCTCTTCTACAGGGCTGCTTTTTGAAGGCCTTTTACTTCAGCCACAGAAGTAAGTTCAAGCGCCCTCATTAAGTGAAGCCGATTTGTCAACCTCCAAATATAGTAATACAGACTAGTGGCACATGACCACTTCAGGACATGCTTTAAGGTTRTACTGCAAGCAGCACATGAAAAAAGTGAGTGAGTACAACTTGATTTGCACAGCTTCCTCRATGAGGCTTTAGAGATGAAGGTCAAAAACAACATGTCTAGGGCRCTTTTCACACAATAAAGCATTATTTTCATCCTGCTGAAGTTCTCTTGATGGAAAAAGTCAGYATGACATGAAAAGCATTTTGAAAAATAGAAATACTGTGGTTTTACAGTATTTTCTTAGCTTTCAATTAGTTCCATGAATTAAATGATTAAGCAATTTATGGGGCAGTAGGGAACAATCAAAAAACTCCACAGTATCTTTCATMTTTTTAATTTTAAAGCAGCTATCATTATAAAACCAGAAAATTAAGGTTTAGTCTACTATATAAAACAGGATTTTGACCCTGTTAAAATGCTAAACACCATAGCACTTTTGGTGAACCAGAAAAACACCAAAAGATTACTCAGGCAAAGTAGGACAGTCATGAAAAGCAGCAGGGAGAGAGGTACAAACCCACAAAAGCAGAAAACCAAAAAACTTCTTGCTGTTACTCCATATTTACTTGCAACAAACTTACTTGGAAAAATTAATTTTGGATGWCAACATTTGGTGAACTTTTTCCTCCCCCAAAACATAAACACATGCAGAGAAAATGTTCATCTGTATTTAAAAACATTTAATTTTAAAGWCTGGATTTCTTAAGACTTCATGTTTACTACTTCTACATTCTGAAAATAAGACAAGAATGTCTCAACCGAACTTTGAAATTAAAACCTGGGTGCTGTATACATGGTGAGACACACTACCAAGAATCAAATTCTTCTAAAACTGAATGGTCATAGTATGAAAATCAAGTYACACTCTAAAGAATAGTAATTGCACTTCCTCATCCGAGGTTTTAGGGCAAGAGATTGCAATAACCTTTCAAAAATATAGAAAACTTATTTTGGAAAATKGGCATTTTCTTGCAGTACCTTGGCATTGTGATACTCCCATTAAGGCAATCCTTTATTGCAGAATGCTCCTATGCAATTATAATTAATATTTTTACATAATCCTCAGTTTTTTTACACAATCCTCAGTTTGAAGACATTAAGATGGATGCATACTAAGAAAATAAGAATCAATTCAAACATTTAGATCATCATTACC